GTCTACTGTAAGGTGAGCAGATGTCCCACTTTTGGCGGGACAGTCCCGATTTTTAACAATTTGTTAAAAATTGTTAAAAATCTCAGGACTTTTTTTTTTATTATTGATTTTTTACAGAGAGGAAGGGAGAGGGATAGAAGGTTAGAAACATTGATGAGAGAGAAACATTGATCAGCTGCCTCTTGCACACCCCCCACTGGGGATGTGCCCACAACCAAGGTACATGCCCTTGACCAGAATAGAACCTGGGACCCTTGAGTCCACAGGCTAATGCTCTATCCACTGAGCCAAACCGGTTTTGGCAATCTCGGGACTTTTTTAAAATGCCACAGGATGCAGGACAAATTGTTAAAAATCGGGACTGTCCCGCCAAAATCGGGATGTCTGGTCGCCTTATAAGGGCCGGCCAGGCCAGGTGCTAACAGCTCCTATACGTTGCACATGGGGTCCTCGCAAGAAGCCCTAAGAGCTGTACGTTATCACCCCGTTATTACCCCATTGTACAGAGGAGTTCCCGGAGGCTCCCAAAACAATAATCTGGCCATTTGCCCAGGATAGCGATCTACGCTCATTAAGGGAGAACCCTGTTTTTGGAATCCAGACAACACCACTCTCCAGGGAGTTTCCACTTGGCCTGGAGAAACGTCTTATCTGTGTTTTTAAAAAGACAGAGACTATATAAAGAACCTGTATCATTCAATAACAAGATAAAAAGAAACCAATGAGAAAGTGGACCAACATCCTGATCAACATTTCTCCAAAGCCATACACACGGCCAGGAAGCCCACAAAAAGACGCTCAGCATCGTTAGGCATTAGGGAAATGCAAATCAGAACTACAATGACAGCCTTGGCCCGTGTCGCTCAGTGGTTAGATCCCCGGCCCTCGGGGAGGGGGTCTCGGGTTTGATTCCAATTCCCAGGTCAAGGGTACATACCTGCCTTACAGATTTGGTCCCTGACCCCAGGTCCCAACCCGGGTGTGAACAGGAGGCAGCCAGTAAGTGGGTCTCATTTATATCAATGTTTCTCTTTCCCTGTTTCTCTCCCTCCCTCCCACTCTCTCTAAAAATCAATGGAGCCCGGCCCTCATGGCTCAGTGGTTTGAGTGTTGACCTATGAACCAGGAGATCATGGTTCGATTCCCAGTCAAGGCACATGCCTGGGTTCCGGGCTTGATCCCCAGTGTAGGGTGTGCAGGAGGCAACCCATCAATGATTCTCATTATTGATATTTCTTTCTCTCTCCCCCTCTCCCTTCTCTAAAACCAATAAAAACACATATTTTTAAATATACTTTATTGATGTTTTTACAGAGAGGAAGGGAGAGGGATAGAGAGTTAGAAACATCGATCAGCTGCCTCCTGCATACCCCTTACTGGGGATGTGCCAGAAACCAAGGTATATGCCCTTGACTGGAATCGAACCTGGGACTCTTCAGTCAATAAGCCACGAGTTAAACTGGTTAGGGCAATAAAAAAAATTTTTTAATAAAAATATAAAAATCAATGGAAAAAATATCCCCAGGTGAGGATTAAAAAAATAAGCTACAGCCGAAACCGGTTTGGCTCAATGGATAGAGCGTCGGCTTGGGGACTGAAGGGTCCCGGGTTCGATTCCGGTCAAGGGCATATACCTTGGTTGCGGGCATATCCCCAGTAGGGGGTGTGCAAGAGGCAGCTGATCGATGACTCTCTCTCATCGATGTTTCTGACTCTCTATCTCTCTCCCTTCCTCTCTGTACAAAATCAATAAAATATATTTTTTTTAAAAAAAGCCACAATGACACCTCCTCACGCTCACTGTGATGGCCATAATAAAAAGGACGGCAATAATGATGTGTGGAGGCTGTGGAGAAACAGGAACTCTCCCATTGCCGGCAGAAAGGTAAAATGGTGCAGTCACTCTGCAAAAATACAGAGAATTCCACGTGACACAGCAATTCCACGCGTGGGTATACCCTCGAGAGAAATTAAAACGCACGTCTACACAAAGACGTGTTCACAGCAGCCGTGGTGGGAACACAGCTCCAAAGTGGGAACCACTCAAATGCCCAACAACTGACACGTGAATGAATCAATGAAATGCGGTCTATCCAGACCATGGGACATTATTCAGCAACACAAAAGGAACAAAGCATTAACAAATACTACAACACAGAGGAGTCTCAAAAACGTGATGCCGAAGGAAAGAATCCAGACACAAAGACCACACGTTGTAGGATTCCACTCACATGCAAAGTCCAAAACAGACAAATCTGTAGCAGTAGGAAGGAGATAGCGGCTGCCTGGGGTGGGGAGGAGGAGAAGGGATGGGTGGTAATTGCTAAGAGGCCCACGGCTGCCGTCGGAGGTGACGACATAATGTTCTAACAGTGCTGTGCTGTAAACATGTTCCATGTTTTTAATCACACACTGAAAGCGTGAGCTTTATGGTGTGCCAGTTATTATCGCAATAAAACTTCTTTTTAAAAGTCAAGAAACATTTTCTCGCGGAAACCGGTTTGGCTCAATGGATAGAGCATTGGCTTGCAGACTGAAGGGTCCCAGGTTCGGTTCCGGTCAAGGGCATGTACCTTGGTTGCAGGCACATCCCCAATGTGGCATGTGCAGGAGGCAGCTGATCACTATCTCTCTCTCATCTATGTTTCTAGCTCTTTATCCCTTTCCCTTCCTCTCTGTAAAAAAAAATCAAAAAAAATTTTTTTTTAAAAGAAACATTTTTTCTTTTGCCATGCCGGCTCACAAAGCAGTGCTCACCAATGAAGCCCGGGGTGGCCAGGATCCCTCAGTCCCCGTGGCCTGCAGTGAGGATTTAAAACGTATTATATGAGCCTCTGTGGCACACTAATTTTTTAAAAATATATTTTATTGATTTTTTACAGAGAGGAAGAGAGAGGGATAGAGAGCTAGAAACATGGATGAGAGAAAACCAGCATCAATCGGCTGCCTCCTGCACACCTCCCACTGGGGACGTGCTCACAACCAAGGTACATGCCCTTGACCAGAACCGAACCTGAGACCCTTCAGTCCGCAGGCCAATGCTCTATCCATTGAGCCAAACCGGTTTCGGCCACACTAATTTTTTTTAAGCTAAAAACCAATATTGCTGCCGAAACCGTCGGCTTGCGGACTCAAGGGTCCCAGGTTTAATTCCGGACAAGGGCATGTACCTTGATTGCGGGCACATCCCCAATGGGAGGTGTGCAAGGAGGCAGCTGATCAATGTTTTTCTCTGATGGATGTTTCTAGCTCTCTATTCCTCTCCCTTCCTCTCTGTAAAAAAATCAATAAAATATATATTTTAAAAACAACAACAACAACACTATTGCTTCCAACAGCAGGGTGGTGGCAGAGACCTCTTGTAACGTAGAGTGGCCCACAGTTCTAACAGAACTCCGCACCTGAACAGCTTCAGTCCCTGCTGTCCACTCCCACCCTCCACCCCTCCATCCCCACCAAAAACCTCTCAGACGCCCCAGGGGTGAAGCCAGCGACCAGCCCTTGGGGAACAGTGCCCCCTGCCAACTTGGATGGTCATGGGGGTGCAAGTCCCACAACTGCCTCCACCCCTGGGTCCCCACCGCTCCTCCCCCTGCAGCCCGGGGCCTGGAACCCACAGCCAGCCCTGCCTCGCCTCTCCTCTCCCGGCCCAGTGCAGCCACCCCACCGCCCCGACGCCGGCCCTCGGCGCCTCATCGCCTCACACCCGCCTCCTCCAGGCCCCGGGGGCGCAGGGCGAGGCGCCCCTCCGGCAGCCGATCCCCGGGGGGAGAGCCCGGTCCTGGAGGCGCGGCGCTCCGGGAGGGTGACCCCGGGATCCCCGGCCTTGGAGCGAGTGAGCACTGCCGGCTGCGCCCAGTCTTATTAGGCACAGCACCCCCCAAAAAAGCACGCACACCCCCAAAGAGTAACGTTCCCAGAGAGCGTGGAGGAGCGGACCGGCTCGCCTGGCTCTGGGGTGGGGTGGGGGAGAGAAGTGGGGCTGTTTTCAGGGTGGGAGGGAAGCACGCGGCGCACCCCGAGCGCATTTGACGGCAGCGGGCAGCCGGGACCCGCGGGGCGCAGAAGTGGGGGCGCGCTGAGAGGGGGCGCGCTGAGAGGGGGTGCGCTCAGTGGGGGCGCTCGGGGGGGGGCGCTCAGGGGGAATTCAGGGGGGCGCTTGGTGGGGGCACGCTCGGTGGGGCGCGCTCAGGGGCAGGCGCTCGGTGGGGCGCGCTCGGGGGGGGGCGCGCTCAGTGGGGGCGCTCGGGGGGGGCGCTCAGGGGGAATTCACGGGGGCGCTTGGTGGGGGCACGCTCGGTGGGGGGCGCTCAGGGAGGGCGCGCTCAGTGGGGGTCGCTGAGTGGGGCGCGCTCAGGGGGGTGCTCCGCTCCGGGGCGCGGCCGGCCCGCACGTGCAGCGGCTGCCGCTTCCTCCCGGACGGACGTGCCCCCCGGACCCGCCTCCGCGGAGGCTCCGGCCCCGCCGCCCCCGGATCCGGGCGGGAAGGCGGGGTGGCGCCAGCGCGGAGGGGAGGGCGGGCCGCGGAGGGGTGGCCACCGTCGGTCCCTCGCCCGTCGCGGCGCCGGACGCTCCCGCCGCCTCCGCTCGGTGCCCTCTGTCCCTGGAGCGCGGGCTGGGCCGCTCCCTCCGGAGGGAAGCGCAGGGGGAGCCCCCGGACCGCCGCCCCGGACAGCGCCGCGGAGCCCCGGGCCGGGCCGCGCTGAGGACGAGCCCGGGCGGAGCCCCGCGCGCCGTGCCTGTCGCCGGCCGTGTCCGGAGCCGCGGCCGCGCCCGCCCGCTCGGCGCCCCGGGCCGGGGGGAGGGAGAGAGGGGCCCCGCCGGGCGTGGGCGCACGCGGAGCCGCCGTCGCAAGGGCCTCGCCGCCGCGGCTCCAGCGCCTCCGCCCGGGGGATGCGGCGGCCCCGGCCCCTGGCGCCCCCCCGTGTCTGCGCCGGGCCCCCTCGCTCCCCCGCTCCGCGGCCACGACGCTCGCGGGCCGCGCCGGCCAGGCCCCCGCCATGGCGGCCAAGTGGTTCAAGGAGTTCCCGCTGAACCTCAGGACCGTGTCGGAGCGCGCCCGGCCCGGCGGCGGCGGCGGCGGCGGCGGGAAGCCGCGCAAGAACCCCGAGGCGGGCGGCGGCGCGGGGCCCCCCGCGGGCAAGGGCCGCAAGAACTCGGGGGCCGGCCCCGCGCCCCCCAAGGACAGCCGGCTGTCCCGGGAGAGCCTGCAGGGGCTGCTCCAGGCCGCCGCGGGCCGCGGCCGCAAGAACTCCCGCTCCGCCGCCCCCGACGAGGAGCCGCCGCGGGGCGCGGCCCGGAGCGCGGGCTGCAGCACCTACATCAACCGGCTCATCAAGGTGGACGCGCAGGACAAGAACGGGAAGGCCGGCTACCCCGGCGGCAGCCCCGGCAGCAGCAGCAGCAGCAGCTCCAGCTCTTCCTCCGCGTCCTCGTCCCCGTCCTCCCTGGGCCCCGAGCTGGACAAGGGCAAGATGATGAAGCAGCAGGACACGGTAGGAACCCGGTCTCTCCCGGGACCACCTGTCCCCCGGGACCACCCTGCGGAGGCGAAACCGAGGGGGAGGAGAGCGAGCCTGCGAACCCCTAGACAGAGGTCCCTGTGCTCCAGAGAAGGGAGGGATGTTTCTCCCGCTAACATGGGTGACTTACAGCGCACCATTCAGAACCGTTAGTTTTCCCGAAACCCGTTTGGCTCATTGGATAGAGCGTCGGTCTGCGGACTTAAAGGTCCCAGGTTCGATTCCGGTCAAGGGCATGTACCTTGGTTGCGGGCACATCCCCAGTGGGAGGTGGGGGTGCAAGAGGCAGCTGATGGATGATTCTCTCTCATCGATGTTTCTGACTCTCTATCCCTCTCTCTTCCTCTCTGTGAAAAATCAATAAAATATATTTAGGGGAAAAACCGTTAGTTTTGTTTTGTTTTTTTTTCATCTTGCAAAATCCTCATGCTAGGGTGGGGAACTCTGCAGAAATGGACCGTGCGTTTAATTTTATTAGCCGTGTCGATGAGTGATCATTGGAGGAAACGTTCCTGCTTTGTTCTGTTGTGGCCCCTAATCGGTGGTGGCTTATTTAAGTTTGAAATCCAGGGAGGGTTGCAAAGCTAGACGTGTGTATGACTTTGCTTCTTGAGCATAAGGAATGGTGGCCTTCACACTTGTAAGTGTGGTTTTCAAAGCTCCAGCGAGAGAAACGTCAATCAGCTGCCTCCTGCACAACCCCTACTGGGGATGTGCCCACAACCAAGGTACATGCCCTTGACCGGAATCGAACCTGGGACCTTTCAGTCCGCAGGCCCACCCCACCACCCCCAGTTTGGGAGCCCCACCTCAAAAGGGCTTTCTCCAAGCCCAGCAGCTCCCCAAGCCCTTTTGTTCTGCCCATGGCCACAGGCGCTGCAACAGCCAAAGGGGGTACCGGGCACCGGGCTCTGCAGGGGGACGGAGAAGCGAACAAAGGAACACTCTGGAGGAAATGGCAGATGGGGAGAACTGCTCTGTGCGCACGCACGTAGAGACTCGCTCCGTTTTCACAGAGATGAGTTGGGCGCGTGTCTGGTTTAACTTCGCGCTTCAGTGTGGAAAGGGGAGGGAGACGAGGTCGCACGGGGCTTTTGGTCTCCGGCCGGGTAATAGCCTTCTGCCGTGGGAACTTAAGTTTTCTCCGGCCCGGCTTCCAACATGCTGCCCACTCAAACTTGGGTCCTACTGGGGATGTGCCCGCAACCAAAGTACATGCCCTTGACTGGAATCGAACCCGGGACCCTTCAGTCCACAGGCTGATGCTCTATCCACTGAGCCAAATGGAGTCAGGAGCCGGAGGGACAGACCACGCAGGTCTCTCTGCCCTGGGTCCTTCCATCCCTCCTCCATTCGCTCTTCCCACAAATACCTGCAGCTTGCCCACCTTGTGCCAGGCCCTGGGGACTGCCCAGGCCTCAGCTGGGCCTAATGGGAGTGGTCTGCCTGACTGACTAGATCAGGGGTCGGCAAACTGCGACTCACGAGCCACCTGCGGCTCTTTGGCCCCTCGAGTGTGGCTCTCCCACAAAATACCACAGCCTGGGCAAGTCTGTTTTGAAGAAGCGGTGTTAGAAGAAGTGTAAGTTTAAAAAACTTACTGTGGCTCTCCAAAGAGATTTTGATCGTCGTCCTGTTGATATTGGGCTCTGTGGACGAATGAGTTTGCCAACCACTGGACCTAGATGTAGGCACCTTGCAGCCCAGGGCTGCCCATCACTCTTCCTGTTCCTTGCTGAGCTTCGGGCACGTGGTTCACACGGTGGGCAGGAAGAACAGAGTCGGGGAGGGGGTGGTTCGTCAGGGTCCCCAGCAGTGGTCGCCTGGGCATTTTCGTGGGCATCGCTTCTAGATGCCTGCGTGTCTTGGCCGTCACTCCCAAGTGGAGGGCTCTCATGCAGGCGGCCTTTCTTCCTCCCTTCCGCCTGGGTGTCTCCATTCTCCTGCCGGCTCCCGAGGTCCTGCTCCATGAGCTCTTTGGAGGATGGAATCAAAGATGGTGGAGCAGCCAGGACCGGTTTGGCTCAGTGGATAGAGCGTCGGCCTGCGGACTGAAAGGTCCCGGGTTCGATTCCGGGCAGGGGCATGTACCTTGGTTGTGAGCACATCCCCAGTAAGGGTTGTGCAGGAGGCAGCTGATTGACGTTTTTCTCTCATTGATGCTTTCTAGCTCTCTATCTCTCTCCCTTTCTCTCTGTAAAATATCAATAATATATTTTTTGCCGAGACCGGTTTGGCTCAATGGATAGAGTGTCGGCTTGGGGACTGAAGGGTCCCGGGTTCGATTCCGGTCAAGGGCATGTACCTTGGGTGCGGGCATATCCCTGGTGGGGGGTGTGCAAGAGGCAGCTGATCTATGACTCTCTCTCATCGATGTTTCTAACTATCTCTGTCCCTTCTTCTCTGTACAAAATCAATAAAATATATATATATAAAAATAATAATAATAATATTTTTTTTAAAAGATGGTGGGGCAGGCTTCTTCCCAGGGAAGGGGCTTCTCACGACCTCCCACGTTGTCACACAGCTGCTGCAGGACAGAACTATGGCACGCGCGCGCGCACACACACACATACACACACACACTACCACCACATACACCGCGCCTTTGCATGCCCCTTGGTGTTTTTAGGAGGAAGGGTGCTTTCTGACACAAATACTGATCAAACCCTGTCTGATTGTAGCCTCTGAGAACAAGTCTGCCTATGCGTTATTGAACCTGGAACTCCCACATGGTGTTCGGTTCTGACCTATTTCTCATCATAAAGCCTGACCCCTTTAGAGCTGTTACAAATTCCTTGAAAGACAAGAAGCAGGTCTTGGTCTTATTTTGATCCCCTCGCCAGTGCTAGCGGTCACTCAGCAGTGCCTGGGCGATTGACTGGCTTACCATGATTTGCTGGCATTAAAAATATCAAATCATGGGGAAGGTGGTAGACCAGCATTTTTTTTATGCTTTAAAGCTATAGACGGCACTCCCCACCACCCACTCAGCCACCCTGGAACCCGGCAAATGTTCTGTTACTTAGGGAAAGAAAAGGAGGTGAAAAGAGTCAGGGATCAGCGGAGTTTAGACGAATTGCTGACAGCCAATTACACTACAGAAAAATCAGATGTTTATGTAGCTCGGTGAATAACACCACCAAGTGCAAAAACTATGCAGACCTAGAGTTTTGTTGTTGTTTTTTTTAATATACCTTACTGATTTTTTACAGAGAGGAAGGGTGGGATAGAGAGTTAGAAACATCGATCAGCTGCCTCCTGCACACCCCTTACTGGGGATGTGCCCGCAACCAAGGTACACGCCCTTGACCGGGATCGAACCCGGGACCCTTCAGTCCACAGGCTGATGCTCTATCCACTGAGCCCAACTGGTCAGGGCAAGAACTAGGGATTTCGGTGTCTTTTCAGATCGGCAGGTTGTCAGTAGCCATTTCGCCGCCACTGCCACCCTGGCATCTGATAGCCCTCAGCGGCTCTCACTGCCACCCTGGCGTCTGATAGCCCTCAGCGGCTCTCACTGCCACCCTGGTGTCTGATAGCCCTCAGCGGCTCTCACTGCCACCCTGGCGTCTGATAGCCCTCAGCGGCTCTCACTGCCACCCTGGCGTCTGATAGCCCTCAGCGGCTCTCACTGCCACCCTGGCGTCTGATAGCCCTCAGCGGCTCTCCTCCCGGTCCTCCTGCAGGTCATCATTCTAGAAGACTACGCTGACCCCTACGATGCCAAGCGGACCAAAAGCCAGCGGGACGCGGAGCGAGTGGGCGAGAACGACGGCTACATGGAGCCCTACGACGCACAGCAGATGATAACAGGTGTGTGACCGGGAGCTGCGCCGAGGGGCAGGCCTCGCGCACGCGCGTGGGGAGCGCAGTGTAGTGACCACTCCGTGTTCAGGGAAGAGGAAAGAAGCAGTTTAACCAGGGCATGCTGAACGGAAGGACCAGAAATGAGACTCAAAGCTAAAGTCAAGCCGAAACCGGTTTGGCTCAGTGGATAGAGCGTCGGTCTGTGGACTGAAAGGTCCCGGGTTCGATTCCAGTCAAGGGCATGTACCTTGGTTGTGGGCACATCCCTGGTAAGGGGGTGTGCAGGAGGCAGCTGGTCAATGTTTCTCTCTCATCGACGTTTCTAGCTCTCTAGCTCTCTCCCTTCCTCTCTGTAAAAAAATCAATAAAATATACTTAAAAAAAAAAAAAACTAAAGTCAAGTCCTGGCCGGTGTGGCTCAGTTGTCAGCGTCCGTCCATGCGCCAAAGGGTTTGATTCCCAGTCAAGGCCCATACCTGGACTGTGGCTTTGCTCCTGCCCCCGGATGGGGCTCTCTCACATCCACCCTTCCCTCCCTCCCTTCCACTCTCTCAGAAAAAGCAATGGAAAAAATACCCTCACATGAGGTTTAACAACAGTAACCAAAACAAATACACACAAAAGTCAAATAAATATCCAGGTAACTTCCCCTAGCGTTTGTATCCTTCCGTTTTAGAATGTACAGGGGTCTTCGAAGTTTTTCTCGTTCTGTGTAAAATGAGTTCCTAGTGAGTTTGCAGATCTGCTCAGAACGCCATCTCCAGTTTTAAGACTGCCCGCTTTCAAAATCAGACATCAGTCACGGGAGTCCTAAATCTGCACCCAGAGGCTGATACATACTTAGAGGATTTTAAGTTGTCAAAGGATGCAAGTGACGGGTCCTCTGTACTAGAGGAGATTGGTTTCTCCACCAGCTCTACGACATTTGGAGCAAAACGTTCAATAACGAAGGAATGACTCCTTGTCCCGGGCATGAGCCACGCCGTCCAAGGCAAACCACCTCAAACCAGAGACAGCCTTGTGACTCCTCAAGTTGGAGCGATGCAGACTCAGGAGCTAAGCAATCCCCCTGTCACTTTCGGCATCACACTTTCCCCTCTTGTTCATAAATCTCTTACATTGGCACACACAGAACTTTAAAATGACATCCTTCTGCTTTCGCTTTATTTGTGGGTTTTAGAGTAAGTCACTTCCTCGCCTAATTGCCCTTCAGCGTGCTTTGATCCGGAATGAGAAATGACGGGCCCAGAGGAGCCTGTGTGAGTGCCGTGCGTCTCGTGCCTGCATCAGGGGTCACACATGAGATGCTCTTCTGTTTAAAAGCAGATCGAGCCGGTTCTTTATTCCAGAAGTGGTGCGGGGGGAGGATGGGGCTTGGTGTCGTCTTTGTTAGCTCCCGCCAGGGCGAACCGTGGCCCGAAGGTGATGGTTCGGCCCGTCCACTCATCTTCAGACACTTGCAAAACAGATCTCGGATTCAGGTGTGGCTTGATGAGCAAGTGAATATGCGGATAGAAGGCTGTATCATTGGTTTTGCTTTTTGTTTGTTTGTTTTTTATTGATTTTTTACAGAGAGAAAAAGGGAGAGGGATAGAGAGCTAGAAACATTGATGAGAGAGAAACATCGACCAGCTGCCTCCTGCCCACCCCCTACTGAGGATGTGCCCACAACCAAGGTGCATGCCCTTGACCGGAATCGGACCCGGGACCCTTCAGTCCGAAGGCTGACGCTCTATCCACTGAGCCAAACAGGCTTCGGCTGTATCATTGGTTTTGATGAGTATATGAACCTCGTATGAGATGATGCAGAAGAGATTCATTCTAAAATAAAGTCAAGGAAAACAACTAGGTCGGATCATGCTGAAAGGAGATAATATTACTCTGCTCCAAAGTGTCTCCACCTAAAAATGACTTGAGTGCTAAGTGAGGAGTTGCTGAGAAGCAATACAGTTTGTGTTGTACGGTGTCCTTTGTTGGGAGAATATGTCTTACCCATTTATTCATATTGGCTTACAATACCCGTAAGTTACTGGCAGATGACAATAAATGATGTTGGATTGTTTTGTTAAAAAAATAAAAATAAAAAAATTGCCGAAACCGGTTTGGCTCAGTGGATAGAGCGTCGGTCTGCGGACTAAAAGGTCCTGGGTTCGATTCTGGTCAGGGGCATGTACCTTGGTTGCGGGCACATCCCCGGTGTGGGGTGTGCAGGAGACAGCTGGTCGATGTTTCTCTCTCTCATCGATGTTTCTAGCTCTCTATCTCTCTACCTTCCTCTCTGTAAAAAATCAATAAAATATATTTAAAAAAAAAAAAAAAATATATATATATATATATATATATATATATATATATATATATCTTTAAATAAATAAATAAATAATAAAAGCAGATTGAAAAGCCGTCTCTCTCGGGCTCCGCCAGCAGAGCCCCCGAGGAGGAGCTGAGCAGAGGGGGGCGCACGCAGCCCCCTGGAGGGGTCCCCCCAGGCACCCCCAGGGCAGGCGGCTGCCAGCGGAAGGCACTGCCGCTTCCTGGCTCTGCCCGCAGAGATAAGGCCAGGGCCGGGGAGGGTGTACCCGGCCAGGCCGTGACCCTGAAGGTCACCGGACGCTGACCTCTCATGAAATCTGTGAATGAAAGGAAGTGAAAACCAAGTTAGTCAGAGTTTTGAAAAATAATCGGAGACTTGAAAGAAATAGGGGAAAAGATTTACTTTCACGTAACATGGAGGAAAAAGTGCGTCTAAAAAAAAAAATGTTTCCTTTTTGTTCACCTTCCTTTGTCTTTTGGGTTTTACTCCTCTCTCTTGAACCGGAATGCTGTCATTTGTCTCTCCTGGCTCCACTGTTTGTTGAGCCGCACTGATTGCAGGGAAAGTGTTGTGCTTCTTTTTTTCTTTCTTTCTTTTTAAACATATTTTATTGATTTTTCACAGAGAGAAAGAGAGAGAGGGATAGAGAGTCAGAAACATCGATGAGAGAGAAACATCAATCAGTTGCCTCCTGCACACTGGGGATGTGCCCGCAACCAAGGTACATGCCCTTGACTGGAATCGAACCTGGGACCTTTCAGTCCGCAGGACGTTGCTCTATCCACTGAGCCAAATTGGTTTCGGCAGTTGTGCTTTTTAGAGATGAATATATCTTCTGTTCTCCCTGGAATTCCCACAAAACTCCAGAGCCATCCCCTTGTGACAGGATCAAGGAGATTCTGACTTGCCTAAGCTCCCAAGATTTTGTAAGAGACAAAGCAGGAATTAGAACTCAGGTCTTCCCACTCCAGATGGGATCGTCTGCTTCCTAGACCACGTTGCCCCCAAAATATGAATTGGTGCATGCAGAGGCACTTTTAATCTGATTCCTCAGTGAGGCATCTTCCCATTCAGACTCAGAGCGAGGGTTAGAGTAAGGTGACCAGACATCCCGCTTTTGGCGGGACAAAATGTTAAAATTGGGACGTCTGGTCACCTTAGGTTAGAGTGAAAAGTCAAAGCTGTCCAATATGAGTAAATGTAATAATAAGGACAGCTAGCATTTACTATGTAAGCCCTTGTCAAAGCTGTCCAATATGAGTAAAATGTAATAATAAGGACAGCTAGCATTTACTATGTAAGCCCTTGTTCATGCCAGGCTCCTGTGTTAAGTCATTTTTTGTGAAAGAATCCATTTAGAAACGGGAAATTAATATAGTCAGCTGGAGACTAAATGCAAATCTATTAAAAATTTTAATTAATTTAAAAATTATTCCATCTTCTCTGTGCTTTTTTTTTAAAAAAAAATAAATAAGTTGGTGAATTTTAAAGTTTCTTCGTTTAAAGCATATATATCCAAAAGCACTTTCTCAGTCCATGTGGCGAGTATACCTCTCACTCTGCCAGTAGGTTACGCAGCTGGGCAGAATAACAGGAAGTGAGTTTATCGGAAGCTGGAATAAAAGATTGCTGCCTGGTGTGTGTTTTTTAAAAAAAAACAACAACAAAAAAAAAACCTTTTGCCTTTTTTGTTTAGTTTGTTCCTTGTGTGATTTGTGGTCAAGTTCAGAAATGTCCCATATTTCTTGGGGAATGTTGGGGATTTCTTTTTAGCTTGTTTCCACATTTCAGGAGCAGAAGGAGACTATACTAATAAATGGTTTAACGGTGGAGCGCCTAACCTCTGTCCCGCCCTTTTAAAAAAATATTTTTGTAATTTCTTATTGATTAAGGTATTACATATGTGTCCTCACTCCCCTGGTGTTCATGTCCATTGACTCCCAAACCCACCCCCATTCATGTCCTCACCCCCCTGGTGTTCATGTCTATTAGGGAGGCTTATATGCATGCATACAAGTCCTTGTTTGATCTCCTTTCGCCCACCCTCCCCTAACTTCCCTCTGAGGTCTGTCAGTCTGATCGATGCTTCTCTGCCTCTAGATCTGTCCCTGTCCTGCCCTTTTAATTACTGTGAAGTGGGAACAACATGTCTGATTTTAAAAGTGTCTTGAGTGTCGAGAACACTGTCCTGATGTGTAACAGCCGACCAGTATTTCTTCACTGGACCAGGCCCCGTGTAGGGTCTGGGCACACAGAGAACAAGACCACATGACCCTTGTCCTTACGGCCCTCCCAGCCCCGGGCTGACAGACCTAACGCAGTGCAGAGGAAAACATGTCACTGAAAAGGGTGGTAAGTGCCAGGAGGCGGAGAATCACAGTCATCATCTGCCTCGGGGAGCAGAGGAAGAAACACATTAAGAGGCAGTTAGTACTTTTCCTGTGGCCAAGTCCCGGACCCGGGCTCCCTGGCTCCCTGCCAAGACTTTGCTCTTACCTTTTAAAGGCTAACACTGTATCCATCTATGAGTGAATTCTTGCTTAGATGGATTCAGAGGATTGTTCATAAAAAGATACGACTGAGAATACAAGGCAATCATAGTACAAACTTCTTTGTTGTTCTGCTAAATGAGCAGAATCATTGCAGCTAAATAGTTAATAGAAATACTCCATATAGTTTAACATTATGGGTT